TGCCACACAAGACAGTATACACAGAGCTGCAGATGAGGTGGTTTGGATCTTTTGGCCAGTATTCAGCTGAATGAATTTCTCAGCCATCTGAATAAAGTTAAAATTTCTCATCCCTCTAACTTTTTGTTGATGTTATTTATTTTTTATTTATACTGTTTTGTAAAATTGTAGCCCCAGTTGGAAGGCGTATCTTGGGAATAGAACTGTCATTATTTAGACATTAAACAGAGTTGTTTTAGAAATTTTACTGTCATTAGGAGGAAGTTTAAAGGACTGGAATTCCATTGTCTTGTAAGAAGTAAGAAATATTTATTGATTCCCAAATGGAGCTGAAAAAAACCTTTCCTCTTTTAGAAAGTTGTGAATGACCCAGCGAGAGCTCTAGTAAGCTTTACTGAACCAAGCTGCTAATAGTTATTTAATGTTATTCTTCAGTGTGAAAGAATCTCCGTAGATTTTCCTTTTAATCTCTTTGAATTGCAGGCTCATAAACCTCTCTGATGAGTCCTGCCACTGTTTTCTTAGATCCCACTGTTGAGACAATGGAGCCACAGAATTCTTTCACCTCTTGTTGTCAGACAAATCCAATAGAACACAAGGTCAGAAGGGCCTATACTTCTAAAGGTTGAAAGATTCTTTTTCAAGTAACCACATAAATTATTTGATTTTAGCATTATATTCCTGAGGAACCTCTCTAATGCACTGCTTTCTATATGTAACTCCATTTCAAAGTATTTCTTGTCTCCTTGTTTTGCTAAATGTGTGAGTACAACACAGGATGTTCTAAGATACCTTAGAAAAAGTTGAACCCATTTTCTGCAAAAGACTCAGGAATCATGTCATGTCATTGGACTCAAGATAGAGTACATCAAATGGCAGGCAATGCTTTTTCTTTCCACATGGCTGTAGTTTATTTGTTTTAAATGGTTTTCACCATTCTGTCGCAAAGAATCCAGATTTCAGATCTTGGATCTGACTCCTTAATTAAATCACCAAGTCAATTTATATCTCAACATTTTTAGTGGTGTCACGTTAACTGAAGAACTTGGAGATAGGAGTTGCATTATGTTTCATTGCAATGAGCAAAAATATTTATAATATGTAATACTACAAAATTAACTTATCTGTTTTGAAGATGCCCTGCCTGATTAGTAGACAATTAACAAAGCTAATTACTAGGTTCCTGTGAGTTACTTTCAGTAGATGGGGAAGAATTACGTTTTCTAATTATAACCACAATAGTGGACAAGCAGAGATTATTGTTTAAAAGGGGAAAAAAACAACATTGATTTGTTTGTGCTCCTTCCTTGTAATTGTACTGGGGGTTGTAGAGGGGGAGGGAATTTGCTGTTGCCCCAGCCCTGGACACCTGCCTCTCAACAAAGGATCTTGGTTACCCCCCACTGCCCACATTTAGATTCACCTTTTACTTGTATGTACCCCGTCTGCTCATTATACAGTTCTCCAGGGATCCAATTTTCCTTGGAGTTAATCACCCCAGCCTTTTTCAGAAGTTGGTTAAATTACCGTCCTTTCAGAGAATACCCTTTCTTATGACACGTTTCTTTTCTATAACTTTTCTTTCATATTTCTGTTTTAAAATGTAGCCATTACAGTCTCAACACATTCATGACCTAATTTAAAACTTTTATTGAAGTATAATATTCTTAACAGAGAAATGTACGTATCTAAGAGTATAGCTTGATGGATTTTCACAGCAAACATACCCATTTGACCAGAAGGCCCCTTGTGAATTCTCCCAACAGAACTCTATAGACTAGTTTCACCTTCTACATTTCATGTCATGGGGCATCATAAGTATGTCACATAATTGATTTTTAAAACAAAATCCTCACAGAAAGTTGGGTTGCATGTACATCATGTTATATAATCAGGTCAATCTACATATGTTTAGACAGTCCCAGAATATGAGAATATTTTAATATCCTCCTTTTAACTCTGACCTTGGGCAAGGTATTAACCATGTTTGTGTCTGTTTTCCTCTTACCATGACATATTAAGCAAATCTTCAAACCAATAAATAGATAGCTATTCTAAAACTCCTGTGCATAGAGATAGAAAAGAATAATAAAAATGTAAAAGCCAGTTTTTTGAGTAAGTGAAAAATAGAAATGGTTGCACGTGAAAAACTAACTAGGTGAGAATAACTACAGCTTCCCAGTAGAGAAACAGAACAATAGGAAGCTGACTTGCTTGACAGTTATATTTGCAAGTTATTTTTCAATAAAAATGGTATAGCAGGTTTATATGAATGGGTTGTCTTTTTGTACAATTAATTTTTTATAGATGTTCAAAACAGATTAAGAAAGCTGATTCATACTGTCATTATCTTTGCCCTAATTTCCTTTAATTGATTTTAAAATTAAGATCTGGGTAAGACATCCTGGAAAATAGGCAACCTTCTCCTGAACAGTATCTGTTGAGTGCCAACTGGCCCCATTCCTCAAATCTATAACAGTGTTTAATTTACGCACTTTAGCAAACCGTCCTGGTCCTTCTATGAAACTAAAATGTCATTAAGACTTTTCCCCCATCCACGAGACTTATACATTTTTTAAGTTGGCAAAAATTGGAAGGTGCAGCATGTGGGAATTAAATTGTTCTGTTTTATTCAGACATTATATACTGATACAATCTACATAAGCTATTCAGTAAGCGTACAGAAGTGCAGGAACCAAATCCAGCCACTGGACAAAGTCTTTATCTTTTGATTTTAGGGAGCGTCTAATAGACTAGTGGTACCCAGTAAATAAGAAATGGGTTAATATTTGGCATAGCTTAATAAGAAAATATGGTGAGTTCAAAATATTGGATAATCTCTTCATCTATTTTAAAATTGTGTAACTCACCAATAAATTTTGAGCAGGCAGTTATTAAATATAATTAAATTGCCGGCATTCACACAACAGAACAAAGGAAAGCATTCTCAGCAAGTGAACAAGAGACTAGTGAGACAGCTGAAGAAGTTTTCATTGGGGGGTTAGTTTTCAGTAGTTTATTTTTAAGCATTGACTTCTGGAAGAACTGTGCAAGCATACAGAAAATATAACATTACTTGAAAAGCAAAAAAGTGCTCCCAAACTATAGTTGCTTTCTTTGCCCTAAAGTGCACTTATTTCAAACTAGAGAGCATTCTTCTACTACCTGGACTGTAGTCTTTCTAAATGTAGGTGGAATTCCAGGCTTCCTTGGACCTTCCTTCTGTAGGAAAAACAGTAGCCCATGGAAATCACAGCGCAGCATAAAAAACAACACCAAAAAAAAAAAAATTGTATTGTGGGGTTATTGAAATATTAAAGTAATTCTCCCTTTAAGTTTCTTATTATCCTATTGCAAGCAATTAAAGATCGATGACTAGCATCCGCTTACATTTGGGCAGTACTGCTTTATTTAAGGCAGTTGTAGCCTGATCTTATTTGATCAGGCTAAAATTGCTTTATTCTATTAGTCTGTTGGAGCCACCATAACAAAATACACGACTGAGTTGTTGTAATGAAATACCAGCCTTATCCAAAATTTCTTTCTCACAGTTGTGGAGGCTGAGAAATCCAAGTCAAGGGATTGGCCAATTCAGTTCCTGATGAGGACCCTCTTCCTAGCTTGCAGACAGCCGCCTCCTTGCTGTGTCCTCACATGGCCTTTCTTCTGTGTACGGGTGCATGTGGAGCAAAGAGGTCACTCTCTCTGTTCTTGTAAAGCTACAGATCCTTTCAGATCAAGATCCAACTCACAGTGACTTCATTTAGACTTAATTACATTCTGAAAACCCTGTTTCCAAGTATATTCACATTGAGGGTTAGGGCTTCAACATGAATTTTGGAGGAATATCCATAGCAACCCTCCTGAAGGAAGGGATGACTCCTGTCTTGGAAAAACAGATGCACTCAAGGTTAGAAAGCTTACAACTAAGGCTCAGGTTACTTATTTTTACCCAACTCCACTCTGCCTTCTTAGCTTCAGATAGTCTATCTGCCAAGGCTTTCTGTCCCTTACAAAAACACAGGTCACTAACTGATCACAAAGAATCAATAAATGGACTTCATGCTCTTGCATGATGCATGTTGTGAAAATGGGATAGCTTGGCCGACGCCACGGCTCAATAATCTAATCCTCCACCTAGCGGCGCTGGCACTCTGGGTTCTAGTCCCGGTTGGGGCGCCGGATTCTGTCCCGGTTGCCCCTCTTCCAGGCCAGCTCTCTGCTGTGGCCCGGGAGTGCAGTGGAGGATGGCCCAAGTGCTTGGGCCCTGCACCCCATGGGAGACCAGGGGAAGTACCTAGCTCCTGCCTTCGGATCAGCGCGGTGTGCTGGCCGCAGCGCGCCAGCCGTGTCGGCCATTGGAGGGTGAACCAATGGCAAAGGAAGACCTTTCTCTCTGTCTCTCTCTCTCACTGTCCACTCTGCCTGTCAAAAAAAAAAAAAAAAAAAAGGGATAGCTTTTGATTGTTGAAGTTTTAAAATAGTGGTATGTGGCTAGACTTTTTGGCCAGCTTAAATCAGATATCCTTAACACTGCTGTTAAAAGTGGTAGGCTGGAGCTTGAGTTTGTGGTAAAGTCAATTAAGCTGCAGCTTGGAAAGCCTACATCCCATATCAAGAGTATGAGTTCAAATCTTGGCTGTTCCACTTCTGATCCACCTTCCTGCTGATTCTTCCTGGGAGGGAGCAGATGTTGGTTTAAGTGCTTGGGCCCCAGCTACCCATGTGGGAGACTTGGATGGAGTAGAGTTTCAGGTACCTAGCTTTGACCTGGCCAAGCTCTGGCTGTTGCAGGCATTTGGGGAATGAACCAGCAGGTGGAAGATTTCTTTTTCACTCTTTCTCACTCTGCCTTTCAAGTAGGTGGAAAACAATATTGATAAGCTAAGTTTTTAAATGGTAAGTAAACTAGAATTGTAATGACCAGTGTGGAGTTGCCAGTATTCTTCATGGTTACAATTAAAGTACAAGAACTAAATGCTTAATTTTATATTTTACAGAAGATGACCTAAGAAATGTGGGACCAGTAGATGCCCAAGTATATCTTGAAGAAATGTCTTGGAATGAAGGTTGGAATTTTTCTGTCTGTTGGCTAGAATGAAGAAAAATATTAGGGATTTTTTGGGGGCAGGGGCATTTTTTTATAAGGGGAAAAAAACCCTCATACGCTATTTGGAAATTTTATAAAGAAATAATACCTTTGCCTTCCATATACATATGAGTATTTTTGCTTGGTCTAGTTTTATTTCCTAAGTTCATGTACTAATATCTCTCTCTCTGACTGACTTCCAGTTACTTATCTAGTTTAAGTAGATGTTAGGTATGTAACAGTCCTTCTTTTTTGCTTTTAACCACGTTGGTTATTGCATTACCCTCTGTATAATTTAAGTAAAGTCAGAGAAGATAATCCTTACCATTCTCCTTGTTGATGATTGAGAATAATTCCTACGAGAACTTTTATTTTCTCTTTAGGTGGTATATTAATATCTGAGAGGAGCTTATGGAGAAAGAACAGGTTTATTTCCTCTTAAAGTTTGTAGGTTACACTTAAGGACCAGGTAGCCTTGTAAACAGCCATCCACTGGAGGTTGAGCATGGCGAGTGTGGAGGAACGATCACATAGTGAGCCAAGCAGCAGATGGAACTGAGAACTCAGATAAAATGAGCAACAGTCGCACAACAACTGCCCTAAAGGGCATGCTCTCAATGACCCAAAGACCTCTCTGCAAGCATAGCTTTTTTTTTTTTCTTTTGACAGGCAGAGTGGACAGTGAGAGAGAGACAGAGAGAAAGGTCTTCCTTTTCCGTTGGTTCACCCTCCAATGGCCGCTGCAGCTGGCGCACCACACTGATCCGAAGCCAGGAGCCAGGTGCTTCTCCTGCACTCCCATGCGGGTGCAGTCATCCTCCACTGCACTCCCTGGCCACAGCAGAGAGCTGGCCTGGAAGAAGGGCAACCGGGACAGAATCTGGCACCCCGACCGGGACTAGAACCCGGTGTGCCGGCACCGCAAGGTGGAGGATTAGCCTATTGAGCCGGGGCGCCGGCTGCAAGCATAGCTTTTGACCACCATAATTAGATCAAGTCTGCACCCTTAGTTCATCAACCATTAATGTAAAGACATCAGAGTGTAAACATTCCCTTGAGTTTTTGGGACCCGCATGGGAGACCAGAAGCACCTGGCTCCAGGCTTCAGATCAGCGTGCTGCGCCGGCCGCAGCGTGCCGGCTGCAGCGTGCCAGCTGCAGTGGCCATTGGAGGGTGAACCAACAGTAAAGGAAGACCTTTCTCTCTGACTCCCTCTCTCACTGTCCACTCTGCTTGCCAAAAAAAGAAAAAAAGAAGGCCTACTTAACAGAATCATAATCTATCAGGGCAGGGCTCTTAATATATGCTGTTCTACTTGGAGGCTTGAATTTTTACTCTCTTAGGAGGAAAAAAAATACCTGTCATCCTCCTTGACTCAACATAAAGTCATGTCTTTGTATTACTAGAATTTTAAAAAACGTGAATCCAATGTGGTTTTTCTATCCTTGTGATGGTCTCTAATTGTTCTGGTTAGGCATTAAATTAAGCAAATACCTTTTGCTAAAATAGAAGCTATGAGTACGTTTCCCTGTACAAATGAAGAAAATCTGTTTCCTAGAATTTTTATATACTCATAGCCTTTTAACTTTATTGTTCAGCTCAGGGTACAAATTCCCTGAAGGTTTATAGAAATTTACTAATGATGAGAATGGGTAGAAGGGAAACAGAGCCAGCCTTCTTGAAACCAAGTTTAGTTCTTTGATGACAAATTCTTAACATGGTGCTCTTAAAAATTGAATCAAAACCAGATTGATTTAGAAGGTAAAGATGTTTTTGCCTATGTAGACACTCTGCCTCCCACCACTCAAATGAGAGTCTGGAGTAGAAATTTTTATCTACTGTGAATAATTTAAAAACCTTGAGGTTTTGTGTAACTAGAGTTTGCGTTGGTAGTGAGTCTCATTAGAGCAGACTGCAAGTTCCTGCTATGAAGTTTGTGGAGAGGATAGATTAGAGTATGTCATTTATTAGGAAGATCTGCTGAACTAAATATATTTTTAAATATATTTTGCCTCCTTATCAATCCATATGTATATGTGTTTAATCTCTTTGATAAAACTAGTTTGTTTACTAATGATTCCTGATAAGGTGAAAGTACTGTAAACTGGTTTAATTTTTCTTTTTTACAAAGCTTTTAAAAAATACTATAATTTTAAGATTTTGTTTTAAATAAAAAATATGGATTGGTGGTTTGGGTATCTGTTCAATCACTAAATACACAGATTTTCTGATACAAGTGAATATGCCAACACATTAAGGGAAATGTACAAGATGAACTCCTCAAGAGCTGTTGTAAATGTGTGATTGTCCATGGGACTTGGAGTCGACTTGATAGTAAAGAGGGGCAGGCATTGGCCTAGTGACTAAGATGACAGTTTTGACATTTGTGAATACCCAAGTTCAATCCCTGAGGGCTCTTGACTCCAGCCTCCTGCTAATGCAGACCTTGGAGGCACTGGTGATGCCTCAAATAGATTCCTCCACCACATGGGATACATAAAGTGTGTTCGCCTCACCCCAGGCTTCAGCCCCAGCCCTGGCCACTGCAGGCATTTGGTAGTGTACCGGAAGATGGGAGTTCTCTGTTAATCTCGCTCACATTCTCTCCTTCTCTTCCTTTCCTTTCCTTTCCTTTCCTTCCTTCCTTCCTTCCTTCCTTCCTTCCTTCCTTCCTTCCTTCCTTCCTTCCTCTCCTTCCTCTTCCTTTCTTTCTCTCCCCCTCCCTCCCTCCCTCCCCCCCCTTCCTTCATTTCTTTGAAAGGCAGAGTTAGAGAGAGAGGAGGAGAGACAGAATCTTCCATCCGCTGGCTCACTCCCCAAATGGCCTCAACAGTTGGAGAGCCTGAAGCTTCTCCCAAGTTTCCCATGTGGGTGCAGTGGGCCATCCTCCACTTCTTTCCTATGGGCATTAGCAGGGAGCTAGATCAGAAGTGGAGCAACTGAGACTCATACCAGCACCCATAAGGGATGCTGGTGTTGCAGGCAGAGGCTTCACCCACTACACCACAACACTGGCCCTTCTCCCTCCCTTTAAAAAACAAATCCCAACCATAAGCAATAAAGTGGTAATAAGCAGATCCACTTCATTTAACATCCTTGATTTTTATTAAAATTAACATTTTTATAGTTATGAAGATGGAAATAATCCTTATTCTCATGAGAGAGCATACTGAGCAACAGCTACATAAAGCCATTATTTTTGGAGGAATAACTTTAGAAAATCATATAAGTTTTGAACATTTCTTGCCATTAAAATATCAGTCTTAGAAAATGACATTAAACAAAAAGTATGAGCAACTGGACAAGTAAAAAAATCATTTAAGTATTCATTCTGGATAATTTTTTTTAAAGATGTTCTTTACTCATTTGAGAGGTAGAGTTACAGTGAGAAAGGTCTTCCTTCTGTTGTTTCACTTCCTAAATAGCTGCAACAGCTGGCGGTTTGCTGATCCGAAGCCAGGAGCCAGGTGCTTCTTCCCGATCTCCCAGGCAGGTGCAGGGGCCCAAGGACTTGGGCCATCTTCTACTGCTTTCCCAGGCCATAGCAGAGAGCTGGACTGGAAGAGGAGCAGCTGGACTAGAACCAGCGCCGCAGGCAGAAGATCAACCTACTGCGCCACAGCACTGGCCCCTGGATCATTTTTAGAATGACCTTGGAAGATGATGATCTGTAATGGAGAAACATTGATAAAACCCTACATAATGGACATAGTCAAATTGTCAGCTGCCCAATCAGGGGGTAATGTGAAATGATGCCTTTTATTATGCTTAAAAATCAGACCTGAGCTAATCTTTGTCCTTCAGTTAAGCTATTATTATAATAGCTTGGTTATTTTGTTGGCCTTCATTCATTCATTTTTAAAATGATCACTGCTGGGGTCAGCATTGTGGTTTTAAGACACTGCCTCCAACACAGGCATCCCATATGAGTGCTGGTTCTTTTCTTGGCTGCTCCACTTCCGATCCAGCTCCCTGCTAATAATGCACCTAGGAAACCAACGGAAGAAGGCAGGCACAAGTACCCAAGCCCTGTTGTTGTGGCCATTTGGGGAGTTAACTAGCAGATGCAAGCTCACTCTCTCCTTGTCTTTTGCAAACTCTGCCTCTAAAATAAGTAAATAAATAAATGTTAAGGTAAAAAGCAGTAATTTCCAATTAAAACGGATTTCTGTGATAATACTTTTTTTAATGGCTTGATGATGGAATATTAAAAGGAGAAACTTTAATAAGATGTGAACTTTTAGTAAGCATTAATATTTGGAATCATCTATGACAAAACTCAACGGTAGCCCATGGTGTTCTCTGTGTCATTTACCAAGCACATGTCACCTCCAATTGCTTCTGAATGTTCACTGAAGTGGTAATAAAAGAAGAAGAGATTTAGCTTGTGAAAATCAATGGATAGAATATGTATATTTTTAGATAATTTAATAATAAAACAATTGTCTTTGAAAACACATTCTACTATATAGATGGTGGCTTTGATAGGGAAGATATTTGTATTTTTGAACGTAAGAGTAAATTATTTTTATTTATGGAGAAATTATACATTGCAAAAAATAAAAAGCAGGATCAGGTGAATGAATTCATGTTTTCCTTACTGAGAAAAGCAGCACAAAATTTTGGCTTATTTAATTGCTACTTTTTCTAAGGCTGAACTTGATAGAGAGCAAGTACAAGGAAGTTGAATTTTTCTTTTTTCTTTTTCTACATTGATGTGTTGTAAATGCTAATGAGGTTTCAGAATTGAAAGAAGGTATTTGATAACAGGAAATCATGCATCTTTCCAGACTTCATTTATCTCTAACAAAAAATTATTACAGTGGGAAAATAAATGATATGGTTAAGTTCTTTTTCTTCGACAGCCACTGCTAGGAGACAGTAAAATGGAATGACCAAAATGATCAGTGATTCTTTCAGTCAAAGGGCACAAGAATTTCAGCTTCCCAGGAAGACCACGGACTTAAAATTTCCATCATTAGGAGACTAAATGTTGCACTACATTGCCTCATTTGGCCTTCTGAGCTGAGATTTTTCTGTTGCTTCAGCCGTTATTTGGGAAAACCAGCCATACCCACACATCCCACACAGGTGGGGTGAAAAAACCATGACTTTGTATTTATATGTTTCAGTCTGGATTCTGGAAATAATATGATACCCAAACAGAAAGTATCCAGATATTGAACTTTATGATAAACAGCTCAGTTGTCAGAATTTTCTCTAAAAGGGACTCCAGGCATGAACATCATGTTCCCTTAAAAAATGAGCTGTGTAGGGCTGTTTTTCTTTTTCCTTCATGGTAACATTTTGGACAAACACATTGCTGAAGACATAAAACTTTGAAACTTAGATTGCTTCTGTGCACTCCCTTTCCCTTCAAAAACTCTGGACTGTTGAGTCACAGCTCCAGTCCGTCTGCTGTGCATGTAAAGATTCTTTGGTAGAGAATTTTTTAGAAATATTGCCCCTCTGCAAGAATTTTCTTCCAGCTGTCCATTAAATAATGTTATATTTCTCGAGCTTCCTTCTTTTGCTTTTGCAATTTCTATGGAATAAACTTTGCATTTTTAAAGGATGCTACTTATAAGCATTATTTTGTTCTCTTTCCAGACGATCATTCTTTTTCTTGGAGTTGCCGATGTGGTGGAAAATACATTATTTCCAAAGAGGAAGCTGAACAAGCTAACCTGATTTCTTGTGATACATGTTCACTAATTATAGAACTCCTTCATTAGAGCTAAAATTGTTTACCATTTGGAATTCTTTAATTGTATATTCTGAAACGATGAGAGGCTATTTGAGCTTGGTTCATTCAAGGAAATGGATTCTTTTGTTGTCAGACCTATTATTTGCAAAGACAATATAAGACTGTCAAGAAAAGGGCAACTTAGATAAATAAAAAAATTAACTTACTAATTTGTATGTATTTATAATTTATATATACAGGTTGTCACAGATAGGACTGAATTATATTTTATGAATTCCTATCTGAGAACTTTATTATTTTGTTTACTCCTTGGTGTCAAATAAGAATTTTCTTTGCCCTAGTATGTCTCCTCTTTTAGTGGGTAACAGTATTGTATTCTTTTGTAATTACTAAGTTTCTAACCTAAGAACTGCTAAAACTATGTAGGCCTGTTGTGTACCTATCTCAAAGCCTACCATTACACCCAAACTAGAATCTGCGTAACATATGAGCAGATTTCTCCCATAATGAAAGCTAGATGTAGTTATCTATGAAGGTATTTCAAGGTCAATAAAGAAGGCAAAATGTCAACTGTAGAACTGAAAAATAGCTATGGGGGCAGAAGACTGACTCCAATCATGACCCTTTATTTCCAAAGCCTGTGAACACTGCCATTTTGAATTTTAAAAGTAATTTAGGAAAAGAAAGCTATAAAAGCAAATCTGAAACTGGTATATTACTTTCCTCTTAGAATTTCAGAGTATTAAGAAATATTTATAAATAAGTAACCAGTGCTTTGGTAGTATGATGAAACAGACTTTTATATTATTATTGAAAATAGCAGATGTAAAGGTCATACCCCTTATAGATTTCTTTTTCTATGTATTTAATATTCTGTGGATAGTGTAAGTCAGAACTCATTTAAAGAACTTTATGGGATCACTGAAACATTCTTACTCCAGATGAGTGGGCCAGGCATGTAACATGACAGATCACTGTAAGAGTTACTACTCTGCTAAAAGAGTAGCTGAAGTATGAAGCATGTCCAAGCAGAGCAGAGCAGATTACTTTCATCGTATCTGTAAAACTAACGATTCCAAAGTGAGGTATTCATCCAGATTTTCCCCTCAGAATATTTTTATATCTGTCAACATTTAGATGACTTTAGATTACATTTTTATCCATATGTTTTGAACTGATATTGTTTGCAGAGTGTATCTTGCTTATTGTTTATATCTGACAATTAAAAATAAATAAAACTGAATAGTAAATAGTTTATTGGTAAGTATATGGTTTCAATGGCAATAACAAATTCACTTGAAGAGGATACAATATAAAGTCAAAGAATAAATGCTTTTTAATCATCAGAAAATCTGTGGCCATTAGGGCTGTCACGTAGAAATCCAAAATCACTCAGAGGCCAAATCTGTAAAATCAAAATGTGATTGAAGACAGTTAATGAAAGTTATGTTATACAATAATCATATTCCCTTTTTCTATTCATCCCGTTTCTCTATGCCACTTATTCATCAGTCAAGAATAAAGTTTTCTGTATCAGAGTAAGTCTTTAGGAAAGAAACTTAGATATTTAAACTCTGAGGGGCCAGTGTTTTAGCATAGGGGTTAAGCTGTGCCTGTTGTGCTGGTGTCTGTGTGAGCACAGCTTCAAGTCCCAGCTGCTCCACTTCTGATCCAGCTCCTGCTAATGTGCCTGGGAAAGCAGTGGAAGATGGCCCAGGTGCTCGGGCCCTTGCACCCACATGGGAGACCCGGATGAAGCTTCTGGCTCCTGGTTTCAGCCTGGCCTAACCCTGGCTGTTGCAGACATTTGGGGAATGAACCAGTGGACGGGAGGGAGGGGGAGGGGGCAAGGAATGATCAATCAGTCTGTCTATTCTTCTCTGTAACACTTTCAAATAAATAAATCTTAAAAAAAAAAAAAAAAACAAACCTCTAATCGTGAACATTTAAACATTATAGAAGAAAATAAATGCGTGTGGTATGTGCTGGCATTTGGGAAGTAAACCAGTGGGTGAAAGATCTCCCTCTCTATCTCCCTCTCTTTCCATCACTCTGCCTTTCAAATAAATAAAACTTAAAAAATAAGAAGAACCCTATACCCTACGGTCACTATAACAAAGGTAAGTCCATTACCCACTGTACTTAATGGGGGTATGCCCCATTACGGGTAGTTCGAACCTAAACTGCTCATCTACAAATGCCTATTAAAATGTGTCCAGGATATAAAGTGAATGTAGCTATAAAATTTATACAAAACAATTAGAATTTTAGAAATTAAAATTGAAGGTTTTGTAGACTAACAATAAAGCTTGAACTTTATTATTGTAACAAAAAATTATTCTCCATTACCACTCTTTATTCTAGTACAGGGAAAGCGGGCTGTAATGTTTGCATGTAGCTATTAAGAGGCCCACATGTTCATAAGATGTCATCATTCTAACTGGTAAGCCCACTAATAGCTGAAGATTTAAAAAATCATTTGAAGAGAAACAATACAATGAAGAGTAAGCTTACATTTGCAAGCAGAAAACTGTACCTTAAATAAGATTCGTCCTCTTATTAGTCCATATGGAATAGGTCCGTAGTACCTGGAATCTGTAGATCTCTGTAGATTATCACCTTCTAACCAAACATGACCTGTTGGCACCTAGAATTAATGAAAATAAGCAGCCAGTTAGAGATGATAAAACCTAGTTTGGGTCATTTAAAAATGTCATTTGAAGGTAGGATGAAGTGTCCTAAAGGTCTCTTATAAAAATACATACAAATCTTGAGATGTGCATTTATTTCTTACATAATAAAATAACTTCTGAATACCAAAGATTTCAACTTTTTAAATGATAATATGTTTTTTTGTCAAATGGTTCCCAAACATTACTTTTGTTATACAAACCGCAAAGAGAAGCTCTAAGAGATCAAAACAGTATGACAGGGTCATTAATTTAATAGACTTCAAAAGAGGTCATGAGGATGCTGACTGAAAATGTGCCCTCCTGTCTCAGTAACAGCGTAAGCAGGGCAGCCACTCACTCAGCAACATCCTGGGGCCAATACCAAGGCCAGACCTATTAGAATGCTCATGATGAACCAAATGGTAATTGATTGTGACATCAATTACAAATAATCTCATCATTTTATTGGAGTGGGCTTGTCAGAATTCTAATTAAGATCTCTGTTCTGCTTTTGTACAGGCCATATCTTCAATGCATTATACTCTGATAATGACCATCAAGAAGCAGAAGGACCTATTATAAAATCATCAGTTGTAAAATTAATGATGGTGTCCTCCGCCTAAATGAGAAGACCCTATCTCCTATATGTATTAACTGCTAAATAAATTTAAAATTTTACTCAGTGACAATCATAACCATATTTAGAACAGAACACAGTAAAAGCATGCTTTCTTCAACATGAAATATTTGCCCACTAATATCTGTTCAGTTAGAAACTTAAAAGATTACTCTCTGGTAACATTTTTTGAAATAGCTTAAAAGTATTATATCTTATTATTCAATAAGGCTGAGTTATTGTTCTGATAAAAAAAGTATTATGGAAAAGTTTAATGAAACCATTTTTTATTTTTATTTTTTTTAACTTTTATTTAATGAATATAAATTTCCAAAGTACAGCTTATGGATTACAATGGCTTCCCCCCCCATAACTTCCCTCCCACCTGCAACCCTCCCCTTTCCCGCTCCGTCTCCCCTTCCATTGACATCAAGATTCATTTTCAATTCTCTTTATATACAGAAGATCAGTTTAGCATATATTAAGATTTCAACAGTTTGCACCCACATAGAAACACAAAGTGAAAAATACTGTTTGAGTACTAGTTATAGTAGCATTAAATCACAATGTACAGCACATTAAGGACAGAGATCCTACATGAGGAGTAAGTGCACAGTGACTCCTGTTGTTGATTTAACAAATTGACACTCTTGTTTATGGCATCAGTAATCACCTTAGGCTCTTGTCATGAGTTGCCAAGGCTATGGAAGCCTTTCAAGTTCACCGACTCTGATCATATTTAGACAAGGTTGTAGTCAGAGTGGAAGTTCTCTCCTCCCTTCAGAGAAAGGTACCTCCTTCTTTGATGACCTGTTCTTTAATGAAACCACATTTTTTAATGCCAAAGGTTATTTTTTTTTTTTTTACCAAAACAGGCCTCCCTGCCCTGAGGATGGTCCTTTTTTTTTTCTTCATGATTTTTTTTTTAAAGATTTTATTTATCTATTTGAGAAGCAGAGTTACAGACAGAGAGGTCTTCTATCCACTGGTTCGCTCCCCAAATGGCTGCAACAGCCGCAGCTGAGCCAATCCAAAGCCAGGAGCCAGGAGCTTCTTCCAGGTCTCCCATGCAGGTGCAGGGGCCCAAGCCCTTGGACCATATTCTACTGCTTTCCCAGGCCATAGGATAGAGCTGGATTGGAATAGTAGCAGCTGGGATTGGAACCAGTGCCCATATGGGACACTGGCGCTGCAAGCAGAGGCTTAGCCCTCTCTTCCACAGTGCCAGCCTCCGTGATATTTTTTAGACTTATTTATTTATTTGAACATCAGAACTACAGAGAGACAGAGGGAAAGGTCTTCCATCCACTGGTTCACTCTCCACATGTCCTCAAAGGCCAGGGCTGAGCAAGGCCAAAACCGCGAGCCAGGAGCTCCATCTGGGCCTCCCACAAGTATGCAGGCGCCCAAACACTTGGGCCATTTTCCACTGTTTTTACCAGGCCATTTAGCATGGAGCTGGATCAGAAGTGGAGCAACCAGGACACAAACTAGTGCCCGTATAGGACGTCAGCATTCCAAGCAGTGGCTTATCCCACTGCACCGTAACACCAGTCCCCAAACGGTTATTTTTTTAAAAAATTAAATTCAAAAAAGCATGTAAAACATTAATTTGACTTTATATAGGAGACTACAAGATTGTGGAATGTCATATATGTAGAAATATTTGTCAAAAACCTTCAGGTTAATTCTTTGCCCTTCAATACACTTAAATGTTACAAATCTCTTTGTAGAAAAAGGATGTAAATTCACTAAAAGGTTCTATCAGTATAAGACCACTCATTTTTATTAGTGGAACTGGTTGTAGATCCTAGGGCCAACAGCAAGACTAGTTCCTGCCTATATAATAGACTTATGTGTAATGAAGCATTAGACTGCTAAAGTAGGAAAATGAACAGAACAAAAGAGTGAATTTGGAAAAGCCCTATGTAATTAATATATTCCAAAGTATTAATTTGGGAAAACCTACAAGTCCTTCATGTTTTAATTTCCATAGTTTTTCCTTAAAATACACTTATTACTGAATTCTAAGAAAAGCAAGTTATGCATAAGTAAAATGAAGTTAGAGACATCAATTAAAAGCAAAAACTAAAACATTCCACAAACAAATAAGGCAACATACTAACCATCTAGGTAGCTCTTTGCCCATCTCCTTGATCACAAACCAGGGCCCATGGTTTATACATTCTATCGCTCCATGAAGTTTTCCCTAAACTTGTCTGCCCACACCAGATTCTCCAAGTCTGCTTTGCTTGGGACCCTGGACTATAACATCTCTTTATCTGCCTGGCTTTTGTGTCAGTCTTTACCATTTCTTTCTCATCTTTTCTTTCTTCCTCTAGAGCCTTCACTAATTTAGAATTAGTGTTTCAGAGTTCTGAACCCATCCCCTGTCGCTCCCCCTCTTCGCGGAGGAACGACACAGGACCCTGCGCTGTTCTTTCGTCTGCTCGGCCCTTCCCGGGTTTGCTGCTGGTCCTTCCCGGGTTGGCTGCCGATCCTTCGTGGAAGGGCGACTCCCCCTGCCACTTTCCCCACTTCCGTGGGGGAGCGGCACACCGCCGGCCGGCTCTCTCGGGGGCTGCTCAGGTGTTCCTTCAGATAGATGTTCCTGGTGCATGTTGTCTCTCTCCTCCTTTATAGTCCTCTTCCACCAATCCCAACTCTGCTACCCACATGCTGAGTACGCTGCTCTCCTCCAATCAGGAGCAGGATCAGCTCCTGCAGGTCATCACTCAAGTTGGCGAGAGGCAGCTGCGTAGAAGTTGTTTACTCCCTTCTCAGCACCAATATTGTGGGAGAGCAGATGCATAGAATAAGTCTTAATTCCAGTAACTTAGTCTAGTCCGAGTTGCTCCCCACAATTCCCCCTGTTATGTCTGGATCTATTTAACTGATTCACTTCTGGTTATATGGGTTATGTTTTCCATTTCCTCACCCATCTTAGCCATTTGTGATTAAGACAGACATTTATCTGTGAGTGAATTTGATGGCCTTCTATAGAGAATACTAAATGTTGAGGAACTTGGGTTTGGGCAGAGGCAGTTAACTACAGATCACCTTATTCCTTTTGAGTCTTGCTTTTAAGCTTGTTAGGTTAGTCTCTGTCTTCATTTTACTTTAAGGACTATTTGAGCTACACTGCTAAGGCACGCTCCTTTCCCAGTCTCCACTGAATGCTCTGGACAGTCACCAAGATCTGTCCATGCTGCCTAGATATAAATACGTCTCTCCAATCTAGGAAGATTGTGAGCTCTGGAAAATGTCTTATACCTCTCCAGTAATCATTCTCTGTTCAGTCCTACTGACTGTCATGACAAATAAGAAAAATTTAATATTCAGCCCAAAAGCCAATTGAATACCTATGTGGATTTCTGAAAATGTTGAAAAAGATCTTTCCTTCCTGGTAGTCTGATCCATATGTTCCTACCATGTAAACATCCCTCTTCCCCAGTATCTGCCTCTTCAACTCTTGAAGACCACCCCTGTTTTGTTTGAACTTTCTCTTACCCCACTGTAGTTGAAAACTGCCTTAAGAAAGCAGTTGGGGAAAGTATAAGTTTATTTTCTTTTTTCAGGAGTGAGTCTTGTCTGGTGTATGAGAACAGCTGTTTCATGTATATTATTCAGTCTTCTGATACTTTATGGCAGAAGGGCAAGTCCATCACCAGTGACTCCATCATTGCCAGAAGCAGACATTCAAATGACCTAATTTTAAAGGTTTTTGTTTTTAAAATCATACTTCATGGGGTGAGCGTTGCGGCACAGTGGGTTAAGTTGCCACTTGGGATGCCCACATCCCTTTTCAGAGTGCCTGGGTTCAAATCCCAGCTGTTCCACTTCCCATCCAGCTTACTGATAAGGTACCAGATGATGACGCAGGTACTTAAGTCCTCCCACCCACCCTGGAGACCCAGATGGAGTTCCGGGCTCCAGGCTTTGGCCTGGCCCTGCCCAATGAATCAGCAGATGAAAGATTCCTTTCTCTCCCTATATGCAACTTTGCTTTTCAAATAGATAAACATTTAAACGCTTACTTCATAATGATGTAGGCAGACAGTAGCCGCACATACACCCAACCCATTCCCACACATGGCTGGAAATATCCAATCTCTCTGTAGGTTTAGCACAGCCACTCCTCATCATGTACCTGAGCCCTATGTGTACTAGTTACCATGACACTTCTGAGAGGCCCAAAGAAAGAGGCATGAGTGAGCAGTACCCAAGCTCCATCCAAACTCTGACTCCTTTGAATATTCAGTTAAGTCCTGCCCCAAGCACCACCGCCTACCCTATAAAAGGAAGACCCCAACTTTCCAAGAGGCAGCAGCCCTTCCTTTGAGAAAGAAGGTTGCCTGTGCTCATGTCTGAGTATGTGCTATCCGTTTCAACTCCTACCCACCTTATATATATCTCCTCCTTGAGTATATTCGGAGGTGGAGCCAAGAACTTGGATCAAGCCTTGCTTTTGTTGAATTCCTCACAACAATAACAATATGAAAAGAATCATTTTGGGGAGCACTAAAATTTGGTATGTGAAGTGTGCTTTGGCATCTCCTCTTGCATCCCCAGCAATGTATCTCCTTTGTGTTTTTGTTTTACTATTTCCCTATCAGACTCTAGAAAACATTCACCATACTCCACGTGTCATGAGGTACTACACAAGGAAATTCATTATGGTATTGTCTGCATCTCAAAACTGGCAGCGTTATAAATGTTTCTCAGTAGGTAGAGACTAAATTTAAAGCTGATTTAAATAACAGTGGATAGTTGGTTTTAAAAACATAATAGATTGTGATGATATAGTCAATAGAAAACCAAGTTGCAGGGCAAGGTATATAGATTTTAAAAAGTATAAATTTCAAAGTTTACATTTTTATGACGTTCCTATTATTTACATTAGTTATATAAATATATACATACATACAGGCATATACATATATGTCTTAAAAGAACTCATTCAGTGATACTTTTTTTTTTAAGATTGATTTATTTGAGAGGAAGAGTCACAGAGGGAGAGACAGAAAGAGCAGTCTCCCATCCACTGGTTTACTACCCAGTTGGCTGCAAGGGCCAGAGCTGAGCCAATCTGAAACCACGAGCCAGGAGCTTCTTCTGGGTCTCCCATGTGGGTGCAGGGGCCCAAGCCAAGCACTAGGGCCATCTTCCCCTGTTTTCCCAGCAAAAGCAGGGAGCTGGATCGGAAGTGGAGCAGCTGGGATTAGAACCTGTGCCCATGTGAGATGCCTGCGCCATGGGTGGAGGCTTAACCTACTATGCTACAGCGCCGGCCTCAGAGAGTTGTACTTTTTAAAAAGGGAACATTGCCCATCATGATGCAAGTTAATTCGAGCTTTGTTGAATTTTTAAATTTTTGCTTTGTCTATTGTCATGTGAAAAGAGAATGACCTAGCTTCAAATTCATATAGTAGGCTCTTCCTCATAGTACAACTAAATGACATCAGTACTGTCATCAAATCTCTCCATTGCTCAAGTATTAATCTAACCAAGAACTCATTTATTTAAGCAAACATGAAATATAACACACTTTTGGTTTAGGTCTGAAATGCAAAACCTGACTTAGTATGGAAAGAGACAAAGAACAGAATAAAAATGTCTATTCTAACTCAAAACATGGTTATTGTCTGTTAATCTGTTGGTTATCACTGAGTTGAAAATTCAAACCAGATTAAAAAAATTTATAGCTGTAGTGTACAAGATACAAGGGTAGATTAAAACATTTTTAAGCTATGATGCTTTACAACTGAAGCTGAAAAGCACTCCAATAAACACATTTATAATAAATGTGTTAGAACTGGCCAAAAATGGAAATCCTAATTCCAAGTCTTTATTTATTACTTCTCATTTAAAACTTTTAATTCTTAGATTGTTTTTCTTTTATACAAGTCTGTCTTGCCATCCTGAATGAATGCATGAAACTGTTTTCAATGAAAGCCACTATAAATTGTCCTTACTTTTGCTCAAATATGAATTTTGGTCATTCAGACATAACTCACTTTACAGCTAAATTTTAAAGCATTTAAAGAATCCTTAAATCATTCTTGTTTTTTTCTTACTACTTACTAGTTTACTTCCTGAGCCATGATAAAACCTAATCTCAGGGCTGGACAAAAGAATCAAGCCTCTAGTTCTCAGCTATATTTACTGAGGTCTAGTTAAGTGCCTCCTTTTTAGTACAAGCAACAAATGTAATTGCCTCATGGCCTGCGGGTGTCCATTTAACAAAAGAGGCTTTTTGTGAGGCAACCACAGGTGTTACCTTTCTTGATTCAAGTGAAATCTGATGAATGAGTCCTCAATATCAAATAACACGTTTACTAAACTGTAATCAAACTCATTTGTTTGATTAAGCAAAGAACATCTACTTAAGAAAAAGTTCTGACTAAATACTAAGATATTTGTGTTTGACCTTTCAAAAGTTTCAAAAAATAAAATTCTAAGAACAGACTGATTTTTAATTAACAGCCTGTTTACCATATACTTTATAGTTTAAAACTAGCAAGGGTGAAGTGTGCATTTGCACACTGGCCCTACCTATTGCTCTTACTTCTTTATGTGTTCTAAAATGACTGCAAAAGAAAAAAGAAAGGATACTTATCAAAGAAACAAAATCATAAAGGCAAAGAGGAAAGTTTTTGGAATACTTTTTTTTTAAGATTAGATTTTCCTTTTCCTCTATGAAAAAAGGCACACCCTTTTAATGAAAGCAGATAAAGCCTTTTTCTTTCGTTTTTCATAAAAGCAAATGGAAGTGATACTTCAGTAGCAGTTAAGTCTCAGAAGTATTTCATTTTGCACACATGATTATATCTCTCCATCAATGATATACAATCAGATTTCTACACCACCATGTAACTAATGCATATTGCTTAATCATGACTTGAGACTCTATGTATAACTACGAGACAATATTTGGAAAATAAATTTATTTATTAATATTATTTAAAAAGACTATATAAAAGCAAGTGTTTGTTCAAATCATGTAACAAAATTAGAAACATCATCAGTAAATAATTGTTTACCTTCATGCAATAGCAGCAAAAGCCATAAACAAACATATATGCAAAAATTTATAAAAATTATTACTTTTAAAAAACACAAAACTGAGAAAACATTAATAATCTTTAATTTTTAAAAAAGTAATGAAAGTGTCTCAAGTACCAGTTATTAGTATCTCTGAAAGCAAACTCAGGGAACAGTTTCACTAATATACTATTTTTGTTGACATTCTCTTTGTCCACATTCTGCCCACCTGAGCTAATTAAGACAGTGGACTATCTGGTAACCTGAAGTGCTTGCACATGAAATGCGTGACAAAGGATTATAAGAAACAGGCCCAGAACAACACACTGATTATTTCAATGGGTACTATTTCTATGTAGCCATGCTTCTTTTTCTTCTCACTTAAAAATATCTAAAAGTTAGACGTACAATTTGGGACATGCTCAATCTGACTTGCCCCAAATGGTAGAGTTAGAAATGTGCCAGGGGATTCCAATACAATCCCATCAAGGTGGCATGTTCCAATGCCATCTCACTAGTCCCAGTGATCAATTTCAGTTCACAATTGATCATACTAATAGGTCTAAAAGTCAAAGGGATCACATAAACAAGACTAGTGTCTGCTAATACTAACTGATAGAATCAAAAAGGGAGAGAATAATCCAACATGGGAAGTGGGATACACAGCAGACTCATAGAATGGCAGATGTCCTAAACAGCACTCTGGCTTCAGAATCAGCGCTTAAGGCATTTGGATCTGGCTGAAGAGCCCATGAGAGTATTTCAGGCATGGAAAACCAAGACACTCTGGGATCAACAAAGATAGAATAAGGACCTAAATAAAAGATCTCTGCGAGTGAGATCCCAGTAGAAAGAACAGGCCATCAAAGAAGGAGGTACCTTTCTCTGAAGGGAGGAGAGAACTTCCACTTTGACTATGACCCTGTCGGAATAAGATCGAAGTCCGCGAACTCAAAAGGCTTCCATAGCCTTGGCAACTCATGACTAGAGCCTAGGGAGATTACTGACGCCATAAACAAGAGTGCCAAATTGTTAAGTCAACAACAGGAGTCACTGTGTACTTACTCCTCATGTAGGATCTCTGTCCTTAATGTGTTGTTCAATGTGAATTAATGCTATAACTAGTACTCAAACAGTATTTTACACTTTTTGTTCTGTGTGGGTGCAAACTGATGAAATCTTTACTTAATATATACTAAATCGATCTTCTGTATATAAAGAGAATTGAAAATGAATCTTGATGTGAATGGAATGAGAGAGGTAGTGGGAGATGGGAGGGGTGTGGGTGGGAGGGAAGTTATGGGGAAGAAAGCCACTGTAATCATAAACTGTACTTTGGAAATGTATATTTACTAAATAAAAGTTTAAAAAAAAATTCTGCCTTACTACTATGTTATCCATATCAGTCTTGGGACTGTTACTGTCCTTTTCTACTTAAAAATGATTCAAGGGTAGGCACTTGTTCCAACATTTAAGACACCACTTGGAATGCCTATTTGTCACATAGGAGTACCTAGTTCCAGTCCTGCCAACTCCTGTTCCAATCCAGCTTTCTATTAATGTGCACCCTGGGAGGCAGCAGATGTTAAATTAAGTACTTGGGTCCCTGCCACACAAGTGGAAACCCAGACTGAGTTCTTCACTCCTGGCAGCAGCCTGACCCAGCCCTGGCTTTAGCTGGCACTGAGGGAGTCAATCAGTGGATGGAAGATCTCTCTCTTTTTCCCTCTCTTGTGTTTCTTTCAAATAAAGTGAAAAAAAAAAAATGAAACTGATGCCTGCCACCTTAGGATACAGCCAATCATTGCAAAAGAGGAATCTATAAAGAAGTTTTAGTAGGCGGCACAGGGATGTGACTGGAAGATAGACTTTTTATTAACAGCTTCTCTTTCATTACTGAGTATCTCCCTGCTTAGTCTAAGACTTGACTTCCTCATTCTTACAGATATTGCAGGCTAAGCTCCATCTTCTCCGTAAGTATTCAATACTTTCATCCAGTCTGAGTGAGTAATCTCTGAAATGTTAAGGATAGTGGTTGAAGATACAGTTTACAGAGTCATAGTCCTGAGGTCCCAATGCAGCTATGCAAACCTCCAGTTAAGCACTTGTACATGCTATTTAAACCTCATCTATTCAACTAGGACAAATAAATTACCTTACAGAAATACTGTGAGAACCAAATGCAGTAACACAAGGCTCCTGGCATCCTGTAAACACTCTAAGAGAACTCCCTAGCAATTGCCCCAGCTGCTGTAGTGAATGAGGCCTACCGGGCTTTCTTTGTTCCTAAGCAGTCTGCCTACCCAGTTCTCTGCAAAGTCAAGTGCACTTGGCAATTTTACTTAGTTTTAGCTCTTTTGTTTTTACACTGTATTCAATTACACAGGTATGGTTATAACGGAGTCTTTGAATTGAATCCATTATGTACAATAATTGTGAATAAGTACCATATTAATTACTCTGGTTCAATTAAATTCAGATAAAATCATCCCAAGTTAATAGAAAAGACTAACATTTTAGTCCTTTAACAGGCATCTTCATCAAGCAATATTTATTAAATACTGAATATTTAGGTCTTTCTTTATGAAACATCTACTTCATTTACCAACTATTCAGAAAGTGAAGGAAGAACCTTGAAAGTGCAGCATAGGGTTTTCCATCCAGGTCATCCAACACTAAGATCCCAGTCTTATCAGACAGTGAATCATCTTACCCTCTGACTTCCTTTTTGTTCTATTTGTAAACACAATGTTACCTGCCTTGTTTGGGATTAGTATTTAAAAGACACATTTTATATTCTCATTCTAAAATTATCTCTGGCTTCCACTTTAATACACTTTTGTTGGGGCCGATGTTGTGGCACAGTGGGTTAAGCTGCCACTGTAGACATTAGCACCTCCTATTGGAGCTCCAACTGTCTGCTCTGCTTCCTATCCACTTTTCTACTCATGTACCTGGGAAAGCAGCAGATTATGGCCCAAGTATTTGGGCCCCTGCCACCTACATTGGGAGATCCAGATACAGTTCTAGGTTCTGGGTTTGGCTTGGACCAGCCCTGGCCATTGCAGCCATTTGGGGAATGAACCAGTGGATGGAAGATTCATTCTTTCTATCTCTGTCTCTCTCTCTCTCTCTCTCTCTGTCACCTTGCCTCTCAAATAAATAAATATTTTTTAAAAATATACTCTTGTTATCATAATCCAAAATAAGTATAACAATGCAACATACAGTATTTCAGAGTGTAACAGAATATGGTTAAGTACTAAAATAATGACTTTTCTTGTGCGCTCAGAAAAATAGTTCTAAACAGTTCTAATAGTAAAGCAAATACACACTGCATAATACATTTCCAACAAAAGTCTTATTCCTGACACTTCCCATAATAATTCCCAAAGTCCAAACTCATCCCTGTATGCATGTACCGCTACAGATGAATATCTGTGGCTCCTTTCAATCTCCTATTGCCCCTATGCATAACTGATTCTTATAAACATTGGCTGGAAAAGAGATTCATATCTGAAATGGTATTAGAAATATATCACCAGTAGAAAAGAGGTCATACTCCAATAAAGAAATGATTAAAGATGTAGCCCAGGGGCTGGCGTTGTGGTGTAACAGGTTAAGCTGCCACCTGAAATCCTGGCATCCCATATGGGCATGGGTTGGAGGCTGGCTGCTCCACTTCCAATCCAGCTCCCTGTTAATGTGCCTGGAAAAGTAGTGGAAGATTGTGGTGGAATGAGAAGGCCATGCCAAGATGGCCACTGGCAAGCTAGCGTCAGTTACTCAGGAGTGGCTTTGGAAACCCCCTGGGAAACCCCCTGGCAACAGAGCCTGCCTGACAACAGGCTGTGATTGGATGGCTTTAGAAACCACATGGCAACGGAGCCTGCCTGGCAACAGGCTGTAATTGGATGGCTTCGGATGCTGCCTGGCAACAGACTGTGATTGGTTAGGGCATAAACCGCCCCTTGACCGGATTGGCTGCCTTGGCTATTTAAGCTGTTGTACCAACTGAAATAAAGGAGTCTGCGGGATGCTCACCTCTTGCCTGCTTTCACCAGATTCCTGGGATCTGTGTGGTGACTCCGTGCCTCTTGCCCCCACCACGCTCCTCCTCTCAGAATGAATCCACTGCAACAGAACATGGCCCAAGTCCTTGGGCCCCTGCACCCACCGGATGGAGCTCCTACTCCTGGCTTTGGACTGGCCCAGCCCCGGGCATTGCAGCCTTTTGGGAAATGAAACAGCCGATGGAAGATTTCTCTCTCTTTCTCTCTCTCTCTCTCTAGCTTTTCAAATAAAAAATAATTTTTTTAAAAAAAGAAACAAAATGTAGGCCTTTTTGTATGCGGTGTTACTAATGCATTTTTAAAAATGACATCATTGTATGTTTTTCCATGACACTTCTCCAACTTATGTTTTTATCCATCAAAACACAATTCTAACATTGCAAACCCTGCACATTATTTAGAATGAAATCTAGCTTTGTGAATATAAAATTGTATATTGTGCAGGTGGATGACGGAATTTTTTTGTGATGATGCATGATACAAAGAGTAGCTTCAAAAAAGTAGATGGATGTCCAGGGCTGAAAGCATGAAAACACTGTTTTGACTAAGAGATCATGAAAACATATTATGTGGACTTAAAGAAGGGAATAGCAAGGCATCTAGACATCATTTTGGTAAAGCACAGTATTTTTGCCACTGTATTTTGCTATAATAATTTAATTGCCACTGTGTTAATTTAAAATATAATCTTAGGCTTCACTTGCCCAAATTGAAAAGGTCTTCTATTTCCCAAATTTGCATGTTCTCCATACCCTTATTTTATTATTTCACCTACCCTTATTGCTAAAGCTGAAACTTGGGTGTCATTTTAAAGATAGCAGTTCCAGCATCAGATCTTGTTTATAAATTTCCTTAATTTTTCTGAAATTTTCATACTTGTTTCCATTCTCAGTGGTAATCTCAATTGTGTCTAACTTAAGCCTATTAACTGGTCTCTGTCTCCAGTCTCTCCTGCTCCAACCCATCCTGTTAGTCTACACTAATATGAGACTTATCTTTGAAGGATTAAGTCTAGTCATGTTATTCCCTGCTTGAGACACAGAAGGAACTGGGAGCCCCACTTACCCCTTTTATTTTTATCTCCTTTCATGACCTACCCGCCTACTACATATTCCCTACATAGGAACTTATTTTTGACAGTTCCCCTAAAGCACAATGCCACACTCTTACTTTCGCCTTCATAATATGCTGCCAGTCTTGGCCAACTCCTACTTACCCTTTAAAACTCCAGCTCAGTTCCCAGGAAAATAATCCTATCTGCCCACTCTGGATACTCTGTATATAATTCTGTTATGCCATATTGTTATTCATTGCTCCTGCAGCTTGAATGAGAATTTCTAAAGCTGCACTATCCAATACAGTAGTAACTAGTCACTCATGTGGCTATTAAAGTTTAGAAATTATATTAAAAATTAAGAATTCCAGTTTCTCAGGCACTCTAACCACATTTCATGTATTCAGTTAGCTACATGTGCCTAGCTATCACCCTACTGGACAGCACATATATAGAATGTTTTCATTATTTCAGAAATTTCTGTTGCACATTACTGAAGGCAAGGACTTTATATACCTTCATGTAGTGCTGGCCCCCAAGTAAGTGTTCAATAACTGTTTATGGAATTAATTGATAGCATGCATAAGTAAAAATGACAGGTTCAGAAGTTAACAACTGGCAAATTTGCCTACAGTCTCCATTCCCATCCTACCTTTCTGCACAGTGTCCCCCACCCCGCAAGTCCAGTGGTCGGGCTGTTCCTGAAGCAGTCTCTTAAAGAAGACGCCTGAATGCTGAGATTGGTTTGAGGTCCAAAGTCCTTAGTCTATGTTCCTAGACATATTTTGACTTTCTTTATATAAGGAGAGGGGGTCAAATTTCAAGTCTCTTCAGATGACAGTTTTCTCTAATACTTCCTGACTTAGAGATTCATACACAGTATGAACAGGAAGAAGGTAGATTAGACTCTTGAATTATATCTTGAGACTTTTACTTAGTACTCTCTTAGACACTGTTTCATTTCCTTTCTCTATTGGCCTTGTGTGTATGTTCAGTGAGAATGGAGGCACTAACTGTGTCATGCTAAATGATTTATATATTTTTATATATTTTCTTAAAATGAGAATTCTAACCCAGGAGGAAAACACTCTCACATGTCTAGTTTAGCAATACAATGACTTGTTAAGCCAATATTTTCATATTAATTTAGTATCTTCCACTGTTTTATAACATGTATACCTACTTTTATATTTCTTATTCCTCTTTCCTATTCCTGTTTAAGTCAGAGAATAGTTTGGTGTAATAAATATATTTTTATGCGCTAAGATTATGCAAGTCACAGAAACCAAACTCAACCTGTCAAATTTTGGTTAAACAAAGTGGTTACATAGCAATTTCATTTAGTTGCCTTTTCCAAAAGACATCTTAACATATTCCCCTAAACAACAGCAGCTTTTCCAGCAGACCTGGTAAAACGATTATATCAGATTAAGAAACCACATGATACTTGGAATATATTCTCTTCATTAGCAGCAGAGTTTGGAGGCTGGTTCAGATGCTTACAATGAGCAGCAGTGTTACAATTTCAACCTTTGTTAATTTTTCCAATTAGGTGCAGGCAAATTCGAAGTACAGATAGAGAGCTTGAAGATGAAAACAAATATTTACGTTTTACTGAATTACATTCTGCCTCACGAGATGTACACCAATGATACTGATTTTCGAATTTTGAGTGGTCTGAATATTTTTAGTTGAAAAACATTAATTAATTGTAGGACCACCTCCTAAACTCAGTAGAAATGATAAACTTTATATAAATATAAATAATAAAAATAGTAGTACAAAATAAAATTCTATCACTACATATTATTGTTAAATTAAGCTCAGATTCTAAAAACGTTCAGAGAACACATAAGAAAATCCTTGAGTTTGGGGTCCTCCCAGGTG